CCACGATGTTGTTCTAAAATAATTCTATCTGCCTACAAATGGCCTATATCCCACTATCGTCGGGCAGCACAGTGGTTAGCATTGCTGCCTCACAGCGCCAGGGACTGGTTCGATTCCACCCTCGGGCGACTATCTGTGTGGAGTTTGCACATTCTCTCTGTGTTTGTGTGGGTTTCTTCCAGGTGCTCTGGTTTCCTCCCACAGTCCAAAGATGCGCAGGTTAGGTGGATTGGCTATACTAAATTAACTGTAGTGTGTTCAGGGATGTGTAGATTAGGGGGATGGGGATGGGTCTGGGTGGGATTCTCTGAGGCTTGGTGTGGACTTGTTGGGCCGAAGGGCCTGTTTTCACACTGTAGGGATTCTACGATCTATGATATTCTCTGCCTGCTTACTCATCTGTCTAGTGGGCCAGTGAGATCAGGCCTGTGAGGCAGCAGCATGGCAAGGGCAGGAAAGCCCTAAGTAGGACTGCAGCAGTGGAAAGGAAAGTTGGACTCTTATGTTGTTTTTTCCCTCCTATCTTACTCTAAGCTAATGTGAATGGCACCATGTATATACAGTGAAAGTGCACACGTTTCACTGTATATTTACATTGAATTGAATCATTTATTTTCACGTGTATTCAATTCAATATGCTAACATATCTGCTTCCACCACCTCGTCTGGCAGTATATTTCTGCATCTAGCTCTGTGTGTAAAAAAAAAACTTGCCTCCCACATCTCCCTTAAAACATTCCCCTCTCAACTTAAACCTAGGCCCCCAAGTATGTCAGTATTTGACATTTCTACCCTGAGAAAAAGGCTCCCGACTATCCACGCCTCTCAATTTTACATACTTCTAACAGGTCATCCCTCAGCCTCCGACACTCGAGCAAAACCAATCCAAGTTTGTCTAATGTCTCCTTATAGCTACATGCACAAATCTGGCCAAATACTGGTAAACCTCTTCTCACTTTTTCCAAAGCCGCCACATTCTTTCCATAAAGACAACAAGGTGTAGAGCTGGATGAACACAGCAGGCCAAGCAGCATCAGAGGAGCAGGAATGCTGATGTTTCAGGCCTAATTTTCTGAAGAAGGGTCTAGGCCCGAAACGTCAGCCTTCCTGCTCCTCTGATGCTGCTTGGCCTGCTGTGTTCATCCAGCTCTACACCTTGTTATCTCAGATTCTCCAGCATCTGCAGCTCCTACTATCTCTGAAACATTCTTTCCATAGACGGGTAGCCTAGTTAAAGTCTTATATAGTGCATACGAATGGTCAGATTTCCTTGTTTTAGGCTGAATGTAAGAAGACATGTCCAGTTAGGCCCACTGGGTTTTGGCTTCAAGCCAACCTGAATTGGAAAGGTTACTGATGGATAGGTACCCACGCCCATCATGGAACAGCAAATGTATTGGCATGATTGAGTGTTGGCTAACAGGTATTAAAACAGAAGGTTGGTCTCACATGGTAATGTGGAAAACAAACAGGATATCTCCAAATTTGTGGATGATATCACGTTCAGCAGGAACATGTAAGGAAGGTGTAAAATATTTTCAGGAGAATATGGAAGATGAAATATAATATGGAAGTGTGAAATTGACTAAGAGAAACAGATGAACAGTGTATTTCTTAAATGGCAAGAAGTTAGAAAGTATTAAATAAAAACCGAAAGAACTGTGGCTGCTGTAAATCAGGAACAAACACAAAGTTGCTGGAAAATCTCAGCAGGTCTGGCAGCATCTGTGAAAGAAAAAAAGAGTTAATGTTTCAGGTCTGGTGACCCTGCCTCAAAACGGTTCTGAGGGTCACCAGACCTGAAACATTAACTCTCTTTTCCTTCACTGCCACTATCAGACCTGCTGAGCTTTGTTCATTCAGCTCCACACCTCATTATCTCAGATAACTCCTCTGATGCTGCTCGGCCTGCTGTGCTCATCCAGCTCCACACCTGGTTATCTCAGATTCTCCAGCATTCCACTATCTCTGAAACAATTTTAACCCCACTGCAATGCCTCTTCTAAGGATGCCTACCCTGAAGAAGTTACCCTCCTCCCTCTGGAGCCCATTTCTGAAGGAGGGTCTAGGCCCGAAACGTCAGCCTTCCTGCTCCTCTGATGCTGCTTGGCCTGCTGTGTTCATTCAGCTCCACACCTTGTTAGCTGAGCTTTTCCAGCAACTTTGTTTCTGCTCAAGAACTTGCTAAGTGTGTATGTACAAAGGGAGCTAGGTGCTCTTGTTGACAATTGATTGAAAAGGTAACAAGCAGGTGCAGTAAGCTATTAGGAAGGCTCATGGAATGTTAGGCTTTATCTCAAGACGACTTGAGCACTGGAATAGTTAAGTCTTGCTTTGATTGTACAGATGCTTGGTTAGACCACACCTGGAGTGTTGCACGCAGTTTTGTTTCCTTAATTCAGAAAATTTATTATTGCCACAGAGGGAATACAATGAATGTTCACCAGATTTGTTCCTGGGAAGGTAGGACTGTCCAATCAGGAGAGATTGGACAAACCGGGCTTGTATTCTCTAGAATGAACTTACAAATTAAAAGGGATACACAGGGTAGATACAGGAAAGATGCATTCCCTGTTTGGGAATCTAGAACTAGGGTGCACAAGCTAAAAATAAAAGAGGGATGCCAATTAGGACAAAGATGCTTCTTCATTTTTTTTTAAAAACTCAGAACTGTCTACCCCACAGAGTTATGGAGTTCAGTCTTTGACAGTTTTAGGATTATCAGTTGTGTAGAGGTGTTATGGGGATAGCGTGGGTAAAAGGCTGTGTAATCAACTACAATCATTGAATGATGTGGCTTCCTTGATAAAAAAACTTTTGTAGGCTGTGGCCTATTCCTGAGCTTTCTCCATATCATCAGGAAATTAATCTCCGGGACTAAAGGCAAAACCTGTTTCACAAGTTATATCCAAAACCAGTCCAGCTCGTCCCTGCCTCCCTAACCTGTTCTTCCTCCCACCTATCCCCTCCTCCCACCTCAAGCCGCACCTCCATCTCCTACCGACCAACCTCATCCCACCCCCTTGACCTGTCCGTCCTCCCTGGACTGACCTATCCCCTTCCTAACTCCCTACCTACACTCACCTTTACTGGCTCCATCCCCGCCTCTTCGACCTGTTTGTTTCCTCTCCACCTATCCTCTCCTCTATCCCTCTTCTATCCGCCTCCCACTCTCTCCCTATTTATTTCAAAACCCCCTTCCCCTCCCCCTTTTCTGATGAAGGGTCTAGGCCCGAAACGTCAGCCTCTCTGCTCCTATGATGCTGCTTGGCCTGCTGTGTTCATCCAGCCCTGCACCTTGTTGTCTCACAAGTTATACTGTTAGGAGTACCTGAATTGCACTGTTTAATGTTTTGACCTGCAGCACCATCCAGTGGTTTTTTGCTTTACTGCAGCTACTGATAATCAAAATCACAAAAATGGACAACATCTAGGGAGGGGGACATGGCTTCCCCCTTAATTTACAAACAACAGTCCGCAATATTGCTGCTGTCACACAAGAGTTTATTATAACACGAGTAGGAGCATCTTCTAGTCAATCTGTGCCAAGGATAACCATGCAAACTCAAGAGCATTTCTTCAGTTCTCAGAATACACGATTGAGACGATATAAATTAGGTTATAGAAAAGACCTCGAGGCCCAGGCCTCGACTGAAAGCCTGACACCTTTTCGACATCAATTCGAAAAATTGATAGGAATTGTGCGGTTAAAACACAAGATGCAAATGAATAGAAACCAAACCATGCTCTTTTTCTGAGATGATTGACAAATTTGCAAAACAAGATAACAAGCAGTAGTGTTACAATAGTCTTTTACTTTCTCCTATCTACACACTGACTAGGAAAGTTTCGTTACAAGTGCTCTCATGCAAAAAAAAAGTGCAAACTTGAGAATGCCAAGTCTTTAAATCCTTAATTACAAAGAACAATCCCAAATATACAAAAGAACGTGTTAAGATCTATAGATGCACGGGCTGAGCCAGACTTGCACTTAAATCTTTTAAAAAAATTATTTATTTATTTTTTAAACGTTACGTGATCCAGTTATGGCCCTGTCCAAAAGAAAAACAGGAATTATCAATCTGCCCAGTTTTATTACAAACTGATTACTGGAGTTTGGAATGGCCACATTGCTGGAAAGCTGCAATCACAATCTCAATTCAGTCATTCTACGGAGTGGCATCCCACCATAAATTCTTCAGTAAGAAGCAACCTTCACCTTTGACATCGAAACAAAAACAGTAAACAAGTCTTATTTTCAAAACACAGTTGGGGGTAACAAGTTTGGGGGAGAAGGTAGGAACAGGTGAAGTGGATAATAAAACTGTTCAGATGGCATAGCTCCCGCTTCTGGTTCCCTTGAAGGTTCAATGAACAACATGGTCAGCAATACCAGCAGCATTGCCAATCTAGAGTTGTCACTGCTCCAGGGACAGGCTGGAGACTCCAGAAATCAAAGGTTCATTTCCAGGCATGAAAAACCCCCAGAGCAAAACTATAAAATGTTCATGAAGATAACTGTTTCTCTCTCATTGTTCCAAGATTTCGTGTGTTATAAAAGTCAGGTATCAAGGGGTTTAAAAGGCCAATAATGATTAACAGTCAAGAATCATCCAACCAGGGAAGGAAGGGTCTATTTGCTTTCTGATTGGTGCAAGAAGGCAGTGTGTCACAAGCACAGGCAGGTCAGGCAACCAGTTCTGGAAGGGTGGGGTGGCGGTGGGAGAATTGACAGCAACTCATGTGAAAGGACCTGTAGGAATGACTCCAATACAGCTGGCAACCCTACACTAGCCTCAAGCTGGGGCCACTGAGCCACAGCAGCCCAAAAAAAAAAAAAAAAAAAAAAAAAAAAAAAAA